GAGAACTGAGCAAGATTTAATATGTTACGATGGCACAAATATAAAGACATTTCAAAATGTCTATGAATCTTTTAAAATGACAAATGAAAACCCTGTAAGTGCCAGCAGTAAGATTATCTGCTGACCCTAGCACATTGTAGGGGAAATTATTAGTACTCTCTGTCTGGCAGGCTATCTTACAATTCCACTTGAAGTCTCCTCAGAGTATACAAACTATCTACACCAAAAGCACATCTCATATAAAAATGTGCAAGTTGCACATCCTAGTAATTTCATAGCAAGAATACATCTGCTGGTGAACCATTTGAAAACACATCAGAATTCACATGTAGATTTATATGACTTCAAGCATTCCTGAGCAACTATCTGTTATGTCTGTCATTTTTAAGTTGTTTCTCACACAGAAGAATAATCTGATAATATAATCATGAGGAAAAGTGAAGACTTTTTAATAGTAATAAAATGCAAGTGCAATAACTATATTATGTATTGCCCAGAAAAAGTGTACTATCGATACCAGTGCTAAATGGTTTTTGTAAATTACAAAATAACATTGTTGCATTTAGCTTACTTTAAATACACCTGCAAGAACCGTGGTAAGAACTGAAGTTTGTGAAGCAAGGAAGTAGTACTGTTGTACTTATGGATGACATATTTAGCTATTTTCCAAATCAAAGCTTTGCTCCTCATCCATCTAAGAGTGACATGGTATTCAAGGGGAGCCTATTTGTCATTAATATTTTATGATTAGGCTCGATGTAGGAATATAGCTAAAAAACTGCAATTTTCCCTTTTTTAAAAAAAACAGAGCTGTTGATCCTTTTATCTCATTTTAGATTTTAAGAGAGAACATTAGAACCATATTTATGATATAATCAAGACTTTTTCATAAGATTATCCATTTGGATCCCATTTTCTCCAACAGTTTTTTTTTATGATGTTGAAAATTACAGTGTATACCATAACTGTTGGCAATTACCTTATCTGATATAGTCCACCAAATATATTATAACCAAAGACAGACTAAAAGAATTATGAAACAAAGCTATACTCATATTATGTATATTCACAAATAGAATTTTTCCACAGATTAAGTGCACTGAAGTATGTTTTCACAAATTATATATTTAGCTGAAGGATCACTTACAATCTTAAAGAACCAATTTAATACTGTAATATTTCTTATTCTACATTTACAACATCAAAAAAATGTAACAAGGCACAGTTCCACATGCATCTTAGCATATTAACAAACTTTACTTCTGATCTTGACTCACAGATGAGGAAAATAAGTATCTGTTTATAAAGTATAAGACAGTGGTTCTCAACCTGTGGGTCGGGACCCCATTTGGGGTCGAATGACCATTTCACGGGGGTCGCCAAACAGCACAGTCCACCATTTTTCCCCCTTTTCCTTAGCTGTGCTACTCCCTTTTATTCTATTGGCTTTTGAAAGCCAATAGAATAGACTCTCTTCAATAGAGTCTAATTCTATTGGCTTTCAAAAGCCAATAGGAATTGTCCAGGCTGTCTCTGCCCTCCTGAGCCCGCCAAAAGTCCCATTCTGCAAACGGTGCTGCAAGTTGTCTGCGGCGAAGGCGAGCTGTCTGGAAGTTTCCACTCCTCCCTGCTGAGCAACTACTAAAAATGTAAGTAACAGAGGGCAGAGGTGGGAGGCCAGCGGGCGCAGAGAGAGTTGCTGGCGCGCGTGGGGCCGGCGGGTGCCTTACCTCCCTTGGGTTGGGCCAGCTGGTGGCCCAGCCAGTGGTCAGCCTGCGCCATCTCTGCCGCTTGCCAGCTACGCCTTGGCCAGCGCAGGGGGCGGCACCACACATGCACGGTGCTCCCGGGCAGGGAAAGTCCTCGACTTACGACCGGTTGGGGGTCACGGCATTAAAAAGGTTCAGAACCACTGGTATAAGATGTCATGGTTCTGACAGATGAAATTCTTCAAAAGAACTTCGAGGCATTGTTTACCTTAAAGAATCTTTTATTGAGAAGCAACATTGGTACTGCATAATCGAAGCCAAAAACTGAATTCCCCTCCCCTGGCACATAATATCAAAGAACAATTTCCTCCTCCAATTAACAGTCATAAATCACATTCCCCAATTAGCTAGAAGCATGGGCTTCCTCTCCAGTTCTCCAGCCCAATTCTTTATCAGCTCTGGGCTCAATAACCTTGATCAAGCTAAGCTTAGTGTTGTTATGTCTCTCCCCCAGCATCATCTAACTCTAAAAGTGAAAGGGAAAAAGATGGCTACATTTTCATCTGCTGTCAATGCAAAACATCCCATGTTAGCTGCGTTAACATATGAAATACATAATGTTATTCTTGTAATTTGGAAATTGCTTCTGTTTTTACTTTATTGCAAAATACTCAATGCAGATTCTTACCCCAAGCTGTTGTTTTGCAAACTATACTTTATAGATGATCACCACATGTTCATTTCTCTTGTTAAATCAAGAGAATAACAATAGATTTATAAAACCAATTTGCATGCATTATCAAAAGAGAGCCAGTTTAATGTAATGGTTAAAACATCCAATTAAAAACCAGGAGATAGTGAGTTCTAATCCTGTTTTAGGCTCCAAATCAACTGTGTGACCTTGGGCCAGTCACTCTCTCAACCCTAGGAAAAAAAGGCAATGGCAATTATGTTCAAAAGTCTTGCCAAAAAAACTAAAAGGACTAGAATAGGAACAAAACAAAGTCACAACTTCCTCTCCCACCAACTAATTCATTTGATGTATTGTATATATATTAGCTATTTTGTTGCTTGCTTGTTTCTCAACACATTTTCAAAATTCATTAAAATATAATCAAAGCATGTTTTTGAGCCCTTGACAAAAATTCAATAGAAATCCAGATATTTACATTTAAGATAGGGCTGAATGTTATATAAAGTCTAACATTACAATTTAATATAAATTAAAATTAAGGCAAAACATAAAGAGCATTTTCTCCTGTTGAAAATTACAAATAACTTTGGCACTCAGCAAGTTATCTTTAATCAATATTTTTCATAACGCAGGCCATAAAGTGCATTTAAAGTATGTTGTAACTACCATTTTCTGCAAAGCACCGTTGGTTATGTATTAATACAAATGGTTACTTCAAAGTCCATTTCAAGTTATATTTTGAAATTTATATGATACTAAACTTTTGAACCTGAACTTTCTTACGATTATTTTTAAATATATATAGCATGTATTCATAGATTGCAACAGGTGTAATATCATGGATATATGCTTATTTACTTCAAATTACTATTATTTAAGTCTATAATTGCATATATTTCAAAATTTAAATGAGGTCAAAAACTACTAAGTATCCCAAGCAAAACTGATGAAAGAATTACATTAAAACTGAAAAAGAATTATAAATCTATGAAAAGATAAAAGCTGATGTTAAAAACTGTTCTGGCATTCAAAAACCCTAAAATAATTTATTTTTTCAGGCTTCTGTAAGATGAGATACAAACGATCACTCACAGCTTCCTTCAGTATGTGTATCTGAGATTATTATATATATATAAGTAACATGCTTGCTAGGACAACTGAAAATTAAGCTGATGAAGAAATGCAATATAAAGATGTATACAGCTTCCTATAAGTAAGATAACAATATGACCAATGTTAGAGGAAAAATAAAAATAAGCCTTTTTACCTCTTGCAAAAAATAGTGTATAAATAACAATACTAGCATAAACCATGTTTTATGAACACATGGATTTATACTGTCCTTCCTCAATCTGAAATCCTACCCACAAGGTCTCTATGTTTACCCCGGAACCCATCTGCTATTCATAAACAAAGCCCACTAGCATCCTCCCCAGTTTTCTCTCCCCCAGCCCCAGCCTCCATATATGCCATTTAGCAATACAGACCAGCATCATTTTCTTTAACTTGTCCGGACCAGTAAGGACAATGGGTGCTTGGTGGCAATGTTTTTTTCTTAAATCCTAAATTGTCACTAAACTCCAACTGTGCCTACCCTTAGTGCCAAGCCCCGAATTACAGTGACCGAGGCCTCCAATCTGCATGGTGGCAGCAGAGACTGAGAATTGTAGTCCAACACAACTGGAGAGCGGCAATGGAGAAACCTAACCAGGTACTTCACACTATGTATGTCGTTTAAACGCAGATAATCCAGCTCTCAACCTCCTAGTCAGCCTGCGTTTGGGGTTTCCTGCTTCTTTTCGTAACCAACTCATCCATTGTTGTTGTTGCCACTAGTCTTTCTGCCCTGTGCCTCTGAAGCCCAGCCCCTGCCTTCTGTCAGCAGCCACCGCCTCCCAGCCCAGGCTGGATCAGAGGTTTCTCCACCTACAAACTTGCAGCAGGCAGGAACGCAAAACGGCAGTTCGCACGCGGAAAAAAACACATTCCTCCACGACCACCACCTCTCCAGCCCTTTCCATCGATACTCCGCCCACAACCTGAATACCAGCCCTGGGTTGCCCCTTACAGCCGCCACTTCTTCCGGCGGGCCCGACCCTTCGACCTGGGCTCCATCTCGGGGCACAGGTGCAGAGCCTCCCCCTCCAAAAGCAGAAGGGCCCCGCCGTCCCCGGTTCTCCCCCATTTTGAGCACCGCTTGCCTCGCTTGCGCTCCCTTTCAACTCGAAGATCGCCCCATTTTTTTTCGTCCCCGGCCCTAGACGGAGCCGCGTCCGTCTAACCCTTCCAGCCCGGCCGACCCCATTGTCTCCCTTCGCTCCAGGCCCTCCCAGCACGCAGGAATCGCTTGCTCCCCGCGTACTCGCGGCTTTCCCTTAGTTCTCGCCCGACCTTCGTAGCCACGCTGCGTCGGGCTCCACCGAGTCGCCCCAGACATTCCTCCGCTCCGCATCTGGGCCCAAACCTCCCTCTCCGTCTCCTGCAATCGCTTGTCCCCCACTCGCCTCCCGTCCTCCCCAAGCAGTGAATCCGCCAGATTCTCCTCGACTCCCCCGCCCGCCTCCCTTCATACATCCCAGTCCTTCCAACAGCCTTACCCTCCGACTGCCTTCTCCGGCGTTTCCTCCCTGCCTCGCTCGCTAGCTTCACATTCCAGCCGCAGCCGGAGAGCTACTCCCTTCGGCGTACGCGCCTACCGCAGGCCTCTTTCTCATTGCCCAACCCCTCCTTACCAAGGAGGCTCCGGTTTTTCCTGCCGGCCACCGTCATCGCGTACCAAGCCTCTCGTCACGGGACTCCCTGCCCACAGACCTCCACGAAACCATAGAGAAGAAGGGCGGCCAGAGAAGCCACGAGCCGGGTTTTAAAGCTGGGCGCCGCCATATTGGTTAGGGGCGGGAGAGGCTTGTAGTAAATTGCTTGTGGAAACAGACGAGCACAACTGCGGAGATTACAAAGGGAAAACGTCAAAAAAGAGAGACTGGCAGTGGACGGTAAATGTATGTGTGGCAGAACATTTTTACTAAAAATAGTGGTAAACATGGAAAGTCATAACAAATATTTCTCGACTGTAACCTGAAGATCAATCTAACGCCAAAATACTGCAATTTTTTTCCCTTGGGTCTCCCTAAAGAACATTTATCGCGCAACGCCGCGAAGATCGTCGTGCCAAATGCAAACTAATAAACGCCCTCAGCTCGCACAGAAAAGGTCAGATCAGGGTGCCCTCCCTCCTCATAGCCAGATTTGGTAGGAACAGGGAATCGAGCCGGGGCTCCCGAGCGCCATGTTAGGCAGAGCGAGCAGCATCGCTTCGCCTTGATGCGGGATTCGGTTTTACTTCTAAGCAGCGCCCGTAAAAAAAGTGGGCGCCGCTGCCGAGTTCAGCTCGGATCGAGCTTCCTAAATGCGCAGAGGTCGTTGCTCTCCCTGCCAATCGAGTATAGATAGTCCTCAACTTATGACCACAATGGAGCCTAAAATTTCTTACACATGTTAAGTGAATTTTGCCCTATTTTACGACCTTTCTTGCCACAGTTAAGTGAATCGCTGCAGTTGATAAGTTAATAAATCTGTTGTTAAGTGAATCTGGCTTCCCTATTGACTTTGTCAGAAAGTTGCAAAAGGTGATCACATGACCTTGGGGCACAATAAGTTGTAAATATGAACCAGCTGCCAAGCATCTGAATTTTGATCACATGATTATAGAGAATGTTGCAACAGTTGTAACTGAAAAATGGTCATAAGTCATAGTTTTCACTGCTATTGTAACTTTGAATGATCACTAAGCGAACTGTTGTAAGTCAACTACCTGTATGACTCTACTAAACATTTCTCTTTACATGCGATTTATCGCCACAACACTTAACGAAGGCCACAACCACTGTTTTTATCAGGATTTCTCGTGTTCATGGTGTTTGTTATACTAATGTTTTGTATGCGTGGTTTTTCTTAGTACAGGACTGTAATAATAACTGACACAGTGTACTGTTTCAAGACTCTTTAAAAAATAAATGAAGCTGCAAAGGAAATATGTTGTTCTTTCGTTGATTTTCCAAAAGTGCAGGGTACAGCAAATAAGATCTATGATTAGCATTTTTCTTCTGATCTTCTTGGATTGTGAAATGTTTTGCGCAAGTATGGAGTTGTACATTGGTTGTTGGATGCAAAAAAAGCATTCGGTGATAGAAGTAAAACATATGAGAATAAATGGAGTATTTTGTAAATGGTCAATACCAAGCAGGGAATACTGTAAACCAAGTTAGGTAATCTCTTGGTTGTTTAATGGGCAAATGTGCAGGAATGCTTGCGGTAATATTAGGGAGCAGATAGTATGTTGGTAGAGATTTGCTACATAGATGGTACAGTATATACAACAATTCTGAATTTGAAAAATAATGTATCAAACACATATTTCATGGAAAATGGCAAGTTACACATAAATGCTGAATAAGTAGAGCCAGCAGCATGTGCATTTGGTGCTTATTATAGTTTGGAGCCTAGGTAGCAAAATAGTAAGATGAAAAATAATGGAATAAGAGATAGTATACAGTTTGTTGTGAAAAATGAATGGTGAAAGAAAGAAATATGAATGTGTATAAAAATGCTTTAGCCCGCTTTGTTATATGGAAGTGAGAGTTCAGTATGTAAGGGCATATATAAAAGTATATTGAATATATGGGAAATGTTATAATATGGGCAGATAAACAGAAGGGACATAGTATCATGAAAATGAATAAATTGAATACAAAAATGAGTTACTACAGGTAGTCCCCCACTTATGAACACATTGAACTCAAAATTTCTGTTACTAAGCAAGACAGTTGTTTTGCCCCATTTTACGACATTTCTTGCCACAGTTAATCATTGCAACTATTAAGTTAGTAACACAGTTGTTAAGTGAATCCAGCTTCCCCACTGACTTTGTCAGAAGTTTGGAAAAGATCACTTGACTCCAGGACATTGCAACCATCATAAATAAATGCCAGTTGCCAAATATCCAAATTTTGATCGTGTAATCGTGGGAATGCTGTGACAGTATAAGTGTAAAAAATGGTCATAAGTTATTTTTTTCAGTGTCTTTGGAACAGTCACTAAACGAATGGTTGTAAGTAAAGGACTACCTGTAGTCCAAAATAAATTATATTGAGGTGCTTTGGCCATATAGCAATAGCACTTTTGACTTATATACTGCTTCATAGTGCTTTACCTCTCTAAGCAATTTAGAGTCAGCATATATAAAAAGATTGAACAAAGTCTGAATCACAAAACAAATATGTGAAGAAAGAATAGATGAAAAGTTATGAGAACAAAAGGCAAAAAGTAGGTTTTTGTCATTTCTTATGTTTATGTTATAGTAATTGCTATTTTTGGAGTTGTTAAGGATAGGATTAGGGAATTTCTGGAACAGTGCAGGATACAAATCTTAATAAATAACATAGCAGTAGAAGCAATGTTAGCAAAGATTGCTAAATTGCAATTGTAAATGCACTTCTAAAAATCATTCAAACTTAATCTTACCTACATTTGTATAGAATTGCACAATCTTCAAAGTATGTGATGATACATAGATAACTATTGTATCCGAAGCCACAAGAGGGCAGGCTGTAGATAGAGATACATCAGAGCTTATAGGCAGGGGGGATATATAAGGTGTCAATTCCACAACAAAATTAGCTGAAGCTATTTCCCCTTCGTTTTCGGTTGCCACAGAGTTGGGAGGTGGGAGATGAGAGTTTTATCTTAGCCATAACAATACATTGTTCTGTGGAAACCAAGGTCATTGCTAGCTGCATTTTGGCGGATAGTATATTTCCTTAGAAAAGCAGGGGCAAGTAGTTAATTGGGGAATGTGATTTATGACATGCTACTGGGGTGGGAAGTTTCACTTGTAACTTTATAACCTTGGGGGGAAGGTATTTGGGTTCACTTTTGACCATGCCGATATTATGTAGCCAAATAAATATGTTCTTTAAGGAAGCTTTAGTTCTTTTTACTGGTTTCATCTATCAGAACCATGACATAAGGAATGTAAAATAATTGTTTTTCTGCCTGCAGAGTATGTCAAATGATTTAGAGTCACTTAGCAAGCTTTTTACAAATTAGGGCTTTTACAAAATAAAGCCAGAAAGAATTACTAATTTTGGGAATTCTTGATGTTTGAGAATGGATGGATCTAAATATCTCCTAACAGTGATCTTTAAAGAAATGTACTCTTATTCAGAAATGTAAATAAGCTATTTCAAATTCATTTGAATAAATAATTTGCAAAAATAAATATGTATCTCAAAATATATCTTTTTTAACATTCCATTTTTTATTCCAGTTGAAAAAAAAAACTTCATTTTCTAGAATGAGCAATTGTCATCTAAAGAATTATTATACATTGCCATAATATTGTTCCAGGAGTTCTTAATGTAGTGACAGCTCTTCAGCAGATCTGGCTGTAGATTTTGTGTGTGTGTGTTTGTGTGCTTATGTGTGCCTGCATTGTGTTTTTTCATGGCAAGAAAAAATGTTTTATCAGTTATCATCAAATATAAAATATTATTAAGTATTAATGCTAATGGATTTGGACCCAATTCCTTAAAAGATCACTTCCTCCAATACTACTGAACACTAAAATCAGGAAAGCTCTGCTTAGTTTCTCATACATTTCTCTGTTTCATACTGCTGAGTCACAGTACTCCCGTTATGTAATTCTCTCTTAAAAGAACTTTGACCCCAAAGTTCCCTCTTTTTTAAGAAAACAATTTAAAATGTGCTATACACTCAGGCATTTGTAGATTAAGATTGTCAGTTAGATTTTCTCCTCTAATAAATACTATTTTAATGACCCTTATTTTGTTTGTTGATTTTAAAAATTGTTGGTTTAATATTTTAATATTTTCAGAAAATATAATTGTTTAGAACATTTTATGAGGTTCTTCAGTTCTGAGAGTAACTACAGAAATGCAATTTCCAATTAATGAGAGAGGATTTGGTTTTCCAAATGTGGAGCAATGTCCTATACTTAAATTAAGTTTTGGGAGAAAGTAGTGGACTATAGTAACATAATTATGTGACAAAAGCTAAAATTTTCAGAAGACAATATTCTCTTGAATGACATACCTAGTACATAGAATTTGACAACTGGATAATGTAAATGAACTATCTCTGTGTCTTTATTATAGCTAAAATATTGATTCTGCAACATTGGAAAGATAAATGTAAGGCCCCATTTATTCAGAAGACCCCTAAACTTCAAGATCATATTTCAGTTTGCGACAAGGTAAATACCAACTAATATTCAATTAATATATAAAATTAATACATTATAGAAGTGTATTATAAATGTTCTTATACTACAAGGGTTATAAAAGATTCCTTCAGAATTATAAAGAAAGTGGCGCTGAAAATTTATATTTAATAACTTGCCTGATTGCCACAGGTGATTCCTGCCCCACAGGTGATCGGTGTCCCCGGTTGAAAGAATTAGCCAGTGACATCACCACTGCCTAGGGCAGTGGTTCTCAACCTTTTTAATGCCACGACCCCCAACCGGTCGTAAATTGAGGACTACTCAACCGGTCGTAAGTCGAGGACTACTCAACTGGTGCAGCAGTTTGCAGAATGGGACTTTTGGGGGCTCAGCAGGGCAGACAGCCTGGACAATTCCTATTGGCTTTTGAAAGCCAATAGAATTAGACTCTATTCAAGAGTCTATTCTATTGGCTTTCAAAAGCCAATAGAATAAAAGGGAGTAGCACAGCTAAGGAAAAGGGAAAAAAATGGCGGACTGCGTTGTTTGGCGACCCCCGTGAAATGGTCGTTCGACCCCAAATGGGGTCCCGACCCACAGGTTGAGAACCACTGGCCTAGGGGATGCCAGATTGAGGGCTCCTTTCATGTCTCTGTTAATGTGCCCACAAAAATGGTACATATTTATCTATTCATGTTTCCACATTTTAGAACTGCTAGGTAGACAGGAGCTCGAGTGAATGACGGGAGCTTACCCCGTCATACAGCAGCACTCAAGTCTCAAACGTGGGCTTGCTGATTGTCTACCCAGCATTCTAACCATGCGAGCCACTGAGCTCATTATGCCACAGGTGATTAGAATGCTACAAATGAATAGTGCTAATAAATGAGAATATTTTTGCTGAGGATTGAAATGAGGGGTCCTTAGTGCTCTCTGAACTTGATTGTTTTCTTGCAGACATTTCATTACCCAAATTAGGTAACATCATTAGACTAGCACTGATAAAAGTTACCTAGTCTGGGTAATGAAATGTCTGCAAAAAAAAACAACCAATCTCAGAGAGCAGCAAGGATCTCTCACAAATGTTGACTGTTGAAACTGGAACAGATTTCACCATTCCTCTCAACCAGTCCTTTTGATTTCCATCCTGGATGTGGAAGAAGAAAAGCTTGCTCCTCAGTCCGGCCCTTCGTGTACTGTACAGACTGGTAGAAGGATGTTTACTGTTATTCCCTATTCAGAAACTCTGTGCAGTGCAATGTCAGTAATTTAAAAAAGAAATTGCCCGCTATTACTGGGACTCCATATAGTCTGGTATGCATCAAATAAACAGTATCTGAACTCTGATAATTTGCAGACAACATGTTGGCTGGAAATATTAAGAGTTTAAGATATATACCAGGATCTAAAACTGAAAAAAAAAATCTGGAGAAATGTTGTTGTCTAGTGTACTTAAGAATCTTTGTTAAGAGCTAGCAAAAAACTTTTTGAATGACTTATTGGGAAAATTGCAATAAAATTTAGTGGCACCTCCAGAAGTTCCTGTGACATAGCTAAAGTATTATGTTTTCGTTACCATAAATAAAATATAGCTTTTAAAGTACAGAAATATTGTTGGAAAACTTTTAAGAATGTTTAAATTTTATGGCAAGTGGGTGTTGGCACTGTTGCTTAATCTTATATTCTCTTGTGTACCCTGAGTTCAGCATCAACTGAACAAAGACAGGAAATAAATCTTTGACCTCACCCTTTTCCAAGTTGCCTTAGAACTGCCACAAATGATTTTGTGGGCAACTTCAAAAGTAAAATGGAATCATTCTGAACTGAATAGACATTGCTAGGGAGGGAAAAAAGCCAGATTTCTACCATTGGCCTTATCAAATAATTTGTCTGAGGAAACAGACAAAAAAGTGATATTAAAAGAGAGTTGATTATTTTATTATATTTGTACTCCCTAGTATATGAATTTGAATGTTTGGATTTTTTTGACTTAGGTGTCAATTGCCTTACGACATTACTATTTAATCTAACACTGATGGAAGAATATCTGATGAATTATTAACATAATAATTATTAACTTGATTTTTATTTTGAATTTAGCAATAGCAATAGCACTTAGACTTATATAGCAATAGCACTTAGACTTTGGAAGGATGGAAGGCTGAGTCGAACTGCCAGCAATCGGCAATTGACAGTCAGCAGAATGCAGTACTGCATTCTAACCATTGCATCACCATATATAGTCCAAAACCATAATTTACATAGGAGAGCAAGATATAATTTTTTTTCTAAAAATGAAAACAAACTGAAACAGCAAAATATTTTGGGATATTACAGAACCAAAAATTTTTTATCAATTCTAAGATAGAAACGATGCTGTAGATGATTATGTAAGCGTTTAATGCTTGTTTTAATAGAATGCTAAATTTTACTTTGGATCTGGCTATGTCATTTGAAAGATACTTTTAACATAAAACAGAACCCAAGTTGGATTTTTGGGCAAGCTTCCTGTAGCAGAGTGTTCTTAATTCTGCAGGCAGTTGATCAGCATTCAAGCATATTGTAAGGCTTGGCAGCAAGTTAATTCCTTTTCAAAGAACTCCCTTTAATTGCGTTCATTTAAACAAAGATAAAAAATGAGTACTTTCATTATTTAAGAAGCTTATTACTAATTCTAGGCTTCTTGGGCAAAATGTAGGTTTTGACCAAAATAGATTTACTGCAGTACTGTACATAGAGGGCTTACTGAATTCTATCTGTCTGCATTTGAAAGAGCTTTCCCCACTTCCTCTCCATTTTACTAGATTTTACTAGATATGGTTAGAATTCTCTGGCATGCTAGAATGACTTTAGGTATGAAAGTTAAAAGGAATTGACTTCTCCTACTTTTAATGCCTTCTATATTGAATGTATTTAATATATTTCTACATCATATCCATTAATATACACCTTAAAGTAGAATGATTAAAGTATAATTACGCACGTCAGATTAAAAACTGTACAAAATATTATTTGTAATTATAGAAAGTGTGTATGTTTATATGGTATTTCTTATTTTAACTGATATCCACATATAGCACATATTTAAAATAAATATATACCAGGATGATGACATTTTATGACAGTTTATGACATTTTTGTGGCAAGCGACAATGAAAGATAAGCCCTCTGGACTATTCTTTTCTTGGCTGGTGAGATTGTATGCTCCCTACCCATTTCTGTAGGTATAGGGAGAAGCGAGAGCAAAGTAGACAGATGGTCTAGATTAGACAAGAGACAAAGAGGGAAGAAAGAGGAGAATATCTGTGGCCCAGAACAATAGAAAGCTCCCACTCATTGTATATAGCAGGAGAGCAACTGCCAGAATCACGGCAGAAGGTTGCCTGTCATGATCAGAAACTCAATCCTTTCTGGGGACATAGTTGAACAGTGCTAGCAGTACTGTGACATTCATCGGGTTCATCACAGCCATTGAGGCCAACACTCCCAGCTAAGAAGAAAGCAGGTTCTGTCCCAAGGGAGACAAAGGATGGCAAGGACATTCCTTGCCCTGTATCAAGGCACCACAACAGCTAGACCCAAGAAGAGCATCTGTTTTTTCCCACTTGCCTGTTCCCCCTGCCACCATAGCTTCTCTTTGTCTGGAAAGACTGCATTGTTGTAATTTTTAGGTTAATGTATTAATCATATAGTATTCATGACCACAACCCCACCCTAAAATACAGAGGTTATCAATGAAATTATTCATGTGAACTCTTAGTTTGGGTCTGGATTTTTAAATTCTATGATTTATACAAATATTGAAAACTCATGCAGATTAATATAACTTTTTTCTTTAATTTCTTTTGAAAACATGGAGTTGATCCCAGGCCCAGATTAAGGTTCATTATTTGTTCAATGGCCCGTTTTTTGTTAGTTTATTTGTTCTATAATATTATTTTGGTCTGGGATATTTCATTTAATATTATCTTTGATCTAGTTTTGTACCTCACCCAAAGCCCACTGGAGTTGGGCTGCCAACAATTTTAAATAAATACTATTCATGAAGATTGTATAAACATTTTGTTTTATGCTATTTTTTATTATATTTTTGCCATAGGGAAAGATGAGAAATAAATTGATCTGCACAATCCAATTCCTAAACACTAGAAACATTTTTTATAGCATAAATCTGTGCATCTCTGTTGAGTTCAGAGATACTTTCTACCAAGCAAATATGCAAAGGACTTCAGCCTAGCATTTTTTATCCTTATACTTGCAGGTATATGAAAAAGGGGATGGGTTTGTTAAGTAAAACTAAGACTTTTGAAAATGGAACAGATTCAGAATTATGTCATTCACACTTCTCTCAGCTAAATTATAAACTAACTAGGAGACTATATTAATTTGGCCATGTTGGACATGAACTGTTTATATATCTTGAATTGACCTATTTTCTACAAATGTTTTCAGGAAAACAAACCCTCAAGTTATTAAATTATGGTCCTCTTCTGATTAATTCCTAATGGTTTCTAAATGTATCTTAATTATATCAATCAGATTGAAAAGCTTCATTTACTAGACAACAGTCAAAATGCACATAGGATAGCTTTTCATACACAAAAGCAATTACTGGTGTGATAGTATTAATAAGTAAACCTGTTTTACTGTACTTCTGCAGTAAAATGCCTGCAGCTTAATCCCATTATCTCTCTAGAAAAGATCAAGGGTCAGAGCTGTAATTGCAAGGTGGAGTTATATAAATTCACAACTATGTATTTTTTCCCTCAACACTTTGGTAAGAGGATATTAGGAAAAACAACTACAAAGAGAGGGAGTAAGCACTCCTTGCTTTAAATTTGCCCATAATGTAGCCCAAAACAATTAGCTTGTAGGGTTGTGTAAAGTTCCAGATACAAAGGGCAAAATTAGATTTGGAAGATAAGCTGTCATGGACACCCTAAAGCAGTTTTATCTTTTTATCATATATTTATTAAGGTGACCAACCATCCTCCTTTAGGGAGGATATATTTAAATGCACATTTCACTCTGTATTATTTTGTTTAAAAAAAACTGGGAAGAAATTTATGTTCTATTAAGGTGATCAACCGTCCTCTTTTAGGGAGGACAGTCCTCCTTTTGTGAGTTCTGTCCTCCCTCGAAAAGTGTCCTCCTACATGTCCTCCTTTTCGATATTTCAAGACTAATCTGCAAGGCTTTTTTTTTCTCATAGAACGCTCAGAACGGCCTTCCGGCACCTTTGTTTGATGTTTTTTTTCAACTTTTGAATGAGCTGTGCCACTCCCCCATTGGCTTTCAAAAGCCAATAGGAATTGCTGCTGAGCACGCCAAAACACCCAGCCAGCAAACTTTGCACATGTAAGTTGTCTGCAGCGAAGGCAAATTGGCAGGAACTTTGCACCCCTCCCTGCTACCCAACTACACCATCTCCTAGTTAGTCCCAAAGATACCTGGAGGAGACTGGAGCGGCGATGCCACTGTAACTTTCTCTTGATCTTTGGCCCTGCTAGGGCAATAATGGCTGCGGGTGCAAGAGGCAGGGGCAGCAGAGCTGCTGCGGGCAGCGGTGCTGTGAGCCGGGGGCCTGCTCTACACGGGGCTGTGTAGTGTGGGCGGTGGTGCTGGCGGGGCGGCTGCAGGCGGGGTATGTTGGCGGGCAGCCCCCCTCCGGGGCTGGAGCCGGCACAGCTGGTGCTTTGGGAGCCGCGGGGCCCGCTCTACACAGCGGGGCAGCAGTGCTGGTGGGGCAGCTGTGGGCGGGGACGCGGCATGTAAACATAATTACAATATAAAATGTTATTGTTACAAATGTTTTTTATTATGCATTTATCATATTATAGTGTATTCTGTATTATTGTTGCAATGAATAAAATGTTTCTTTTATTTCCAATATTTTTTTCTTCAATTTATTTGTGTCCTCCTTTTCATTGTAAAAAAGTTGGTCACCTTAATATTTTGTTTAAGGTAGTGTGTTTGCTTTTGCCTATTCCCAATTATATTTTATTCTTCAAATTAGAAGCTTACAATACCATTGTAGATAGGAAGAAAAAAAATTGCTTGCTTTTGTTTCATTTGAACTGAAATAATTCATTCAAGCTACTTTTCTACAACACATAGTAAAATATTTGCTGCTTGAAAGCAAATACGTATAGCCTGCTTCCTTGCTCATTGTTCCTTCCAAAGTGAGAAAATGAAAAATATGAATTCTAAAAAGATTTCCGAGATGTTAACTAAATAATATGAAATATAAATCTCTTTACAGAGATGGTCACTAAATGGCCCTTTATAGATCATTAGATCTGTCCATTTCCAAGCATAGAATTAAAACCAACAAAAGGAAAAAGACAATAACAAATAATCTAATAACAGAATAATAGCACCGCAAAATAATCTAAATCGGTGCTTTTTAAACTTTGCAATTTTAAGATGTGTGGACTTCCAACCCCCAGTTTCCCAGCCAGCATGTTGAGTCCTCTTATTTTACAGTGGCCAAGTTTGAAGAACACTGATCGAATTCAAACTACAAAGCACAAATCACCGCGTGTGTTCCCTTTAACTTTCTCTTTTGTAAGATAAACACCTCCAGCCTTGGTAGGTATTTTCTGAATTTGCTCCCGCTTTTCCACGCCTATAATCAATAATGCGATACTCGAATTCCACATAGTACTCCAATAGCGCTTTAATCATCACAAAATAGAATAAAATGCAGTCTTCTCGCGATGTGGATTCCTCTCGCCGTTTCAGTCATCAGTTGTGCTCATCTGTTGCTAAGAGTAACCAAGCTTTTTCCGCTACTAGCCAATATGGCAGCGCCCTGAGTTTGGCGCGCCGGTGCTCTAGCTCTCTATCGTTCCTGTGCTGGGCGAGGAGTGCTGTGGCGGGTGGTTCCTTTGACAGCAGTCGGTAGGAAAAGGAAAGCACTGAAAGATACGGGTATTCGCAAAGGGGGGGGCTCGCTGGCTGCAGTTAACGACTTTGAGAAGGTTTCCAAGGCTGAGCCCGGAGGGAAAAGACAGTAAGGCGGACCAAGAATCACGGAATGAGATAAGGAGATAAGAACGAAGAAAGGGGGGAGGGGATAGCAGCACTTTGCTGCCTTTGAAGTAGAGGTTTCCTTCTTTCCCTGCCAAAAGGGAGTTCAAAGACCGGAGCCAGAGAAGCTGTTGGGAGAGGAACCCCAAGGCACAGGTCAGGCCGTGGGTAATGTAAAGGGCCGAAGAAAGTGTTTTGCATTTCTGGCTAAGCTTGAAGCCTCGTTTCTAGGCATTCGGATTGTGCAATTTTTTAGAGATTAGATGAGATGCCAGGCCCAATTTATCAGAGCATTTTTGTAAAGTTCTGAATCATTGACTTTAATTAATAACGGTACTAAGTTGAACAACTAATACAATTTGTCTTTACAGAAATTTCCTTATTTGTAATCAGAAATTTTTAATCCTACCTTATCACTTTCGGAATGTCTGAATCAAAATTTCGGGAGGTTTTGCCCAAGCATGGTAAGCAGCATTACTAAGAATGCAAAAAAGCAAAATCCACCTTAATATTTTCCAGGGTCCTTTGTAAGAATTCTGCATTTATTTTTACTTTAAATTAAGTGAGGATGGGGGCTTATGTGATGGGTTTTTAAATATTGTAAGCTGTCCAGAATCACCTGTGTGAGTTGGGAAGCTATAAAAATTAGCTTAATAAATAAAGTCACAAAGTAATTACAGATAACTAGTTTTACACTATAATTTACCATTCTATATTATATATCTATGAAAAATACACTCATACACATTTCTTTCCTAGGAATAATATTTCCTTTTAAAGTAGTCTGCTGACTTTGTAAACCACTTAGGGCTGTAAAGCACTGTGAAGCGGTATATAAGTCTATATGGCATAGATTTGAGCCTATTTTAAACTAAAGATCAGTGTGATTTTGCTCAAATAGCAAGATTCACCAACTAGAACTTGATTTAGACCAACAATAGCCAAAAGGTAGATTGGATTATTTCTATTTCCCAAATTATCAGTTACAGAAACAAGCTTATTTTTTCCCTTTTCCAGTCTGCGGACTTCTGTCTTTTAAATAACCCCTTTCTGAAATAGATTTTGCCAGCTAAAATGCTGTGGTTCCATTTTGAAAGTGAAGTTGGAACGTATCAAATTTGAAATGTTAATGTGCAAATTGTCTCATATGAAAAATCATCTCCTGTTTTGCAGTATTTACATATACCGTATATTCCGGCGTATAAGACGACTTTTGAGAACGATGAAACAGCCTCCGAACTCGGGGGTCGTCTTATACGCCGAGTCATAACATTTATTTATTTATTTATTATTTCCGGCGTATAAGATGACGTTCTAGGCATGCGACTCGGTGTCGATCATCTTATACGCCGGAAATGACGTCATTTCCGGCGTATAAGATGATCGACACCGAGTCGCATGCCTAGAAAGTCATCTTATACGCCGGAAATAAACGTCATTTCCGGCATATAAGATGATCGACGCCGAGTCGCATGCCTAGAAAGTCGTCTTATATGCGACTCGGCGTCGATCGTCTTGCGACCCGGCGTCGAACTCGGGGGTCGTCTTATACGCCGGGTCGCCTAATACGCCGGAATATACGGTACCCTGATATACACAGATGATTTTATTGGGATCCAAATAGGAATTGTAATATTTGAATGTTTAATTGATATATATAAATTTATTCTTTGACATTATTAAACATCCTATTTTTATTGTTTTAGGCATGTTAGCAATAGAAGATGTAACTACCATGGTGATGTGCAAGCCCAAACTGCTGCCATTAAAATCTGTTACTTTGGAAAAACTTGAGAAAATGCAACGTGAAGCACAAGAAATTATTCAGCAACAGGAACAAGCTACACAGCAGTGTTCAACATCTGCTCTTGATCAATAAGAAACCTACATGATGTTTGCAATAGTGGTGAATACATGATGTTCCTACTCATCTATATTAGTGTATATAGCAATACAATGACTTATGGATAGTAAGGTGAAGTATTTTTATCAAATGCATTTTAGATAAGTGTTTACATGTTTGTGTTATAATTTTGTAAATAATGTCTGGAAAATAGTATCAAAGTTACCTTTAGCTTCTTGCTTTACAAGCTGCATATCTTGTTATAGTATTGTGGAATTTCTGAATAAACTATTATGCTACCAAGGTTTCCTATATGCTGAACCATAAAGTGATTTCTTGATTTTGACTTTGTGTTACTTGAATGCAGCTCTTAAATCATGACTTACTGCAACATGTAACCAGATTTAGAAAGTTCAAGAGACTTGTTATTAGAGGACTTACGATGTATTTAATATTCATCTGGAATGTCGTCTATGCAGTGCAGTGGAAACTATGCAGTGGAAACAAACAAAAATGCACTACTCTTTGTGCATAAAAAAAGAGTAAGGGGATACTTTAGAAAGATAGTCAATCCCCACTTACAATGGCTAATTAAATTAAATTAGCTAGTAGGATTTCAGCATTCAGGTCTGAACATAGCAAAAGCATTTCTAAAATGCAAACATACTGCAGGAACCTTAAATGCTACTGAAATTTATTAGTGGAAAAGGGAGTAGTATGCTTTCCAGAGGCGTTCTCTTCCCAAATCCAGTCTTAAACCTCTGAACTTTCAACCCCAACCCTTCTGGCATGTTACTAGAAGAATTTTTATGGCTCTACAACTGCTCAGATTAGTAAATTGCAGCCTCAGGCAAAGGGAAAGTTGCTCCTAACAATGTTTATGAAAAAAAAAACAGGAATATCAGCCGACGGGCATAGAATTAGTCTCAATGAAACCTAGTTTACAACACAAACCCACATACTAAAGATATGTAAAAAAGAATGTATTTATACATGCATTGTGCTTGTTTATTCCCAAGTTTAGTTCACTGATGAAATCAAGTAATATACGAACATGTAGCTCCTTTTAGGACCAAGGTGAGATTTAGAAGTTAAGAATCTGCTCCACAAATTTATTTTACAATACATTCTGTCATAACTGCCCTTTTTCCAGTTCTACAGAAAAAGAATAGATGTTCCAGCTACCATTTGCTGAACTAAAGACCAAGATCTTCTCCTAAAAAATATATGTTTTGATCATACTAAACTTCTTAGATCCTTTAAAACAAATAACTTTTTTTTCTGTCTTTGTAGCAGCAAAATAGAGCTCTAGCAGCTTAATATAACCCATTGCTTTTCAATAAACCAGTGATTTTATCACAAAATTCTGTCCTCAGAAGAAAGGAATGGCAAGCAGGCATTAATGCAAAACATGGAATGATTGGATTGAATTTATGGCACTTAAAAGATTGCCTTGTTCTGCAAATTTCATAGATGTGGTTATTTGTTCTGTCCAACCATTGGTTCAGAGAAATGAGAGTTGGAAGATTTCTTGCATGAACACAAGTTTATATAACCATCAGAAATTATTAGTGCCCCAAACAAGTGCATCTTTTAAAAATAAATGAACTATGTTAAGCAACTATTACTATAGAATATATACACATATATTCCCTTTAAACATCTACAGCTGCAAGAGTTCATTCACATATTCAGTAGCTCTCAGACTTCAGACGTCCTCCATCTCCTTCACTTACAAAGCGTTTCCTTCCCCTAAAATAAAATACAGATATCATTTCAGCATCTCCACTATTCCTTTAATTGGCTAGAGAGTTGTCTATCAATCTGGGAAAAATATACATTAAGTAAACATCTGATCAAGTGTATATCAGCTACATACAGACATTAATTACCAGATTTTCTGCTTGTAAGATTTAAGATTGGTGAGACAAAATAAATAGCTGACACCATCATTAAGCTATGAAGAAACTCTTTCAAACATGATTAAGGCTAAACAGAGATTCCAGAAGAAGCACTTTTCTTCATAACCAAATGAAAATCAGAATAGTTTTAATAAATAAAAATTGAATTTATCCTTAATTTAATTACAAAATATTTCAGAAATGGCAAAAAAATGTGGCTGAGCTCAAAAGAGAATATGGCAATATGTCTAAGTCTTGAAAAAAAATTAATAAATTTAAATGCAAATGTAAAAAATTTAGTATCTCTAATGATTTGAATAAATGAGACTTTAACTATCTACACATTGTGCCTAGCTGCAACCTAGCAGTGCAGATAAAGTATTAATCCAAATAAAAACAAAATATGAAAAATTCAATATGGAAAATAAAACTCTCTATTTTGTAGGAAATGCAGGCTAACTATATGTCATTGAACAACAGTAATAAAAGTTAAGAGTTTTGTACGGTGCTTAGAAATTTGTATGGTGCTGGTATTTTAGTAACAGTATGTCATTAGATACTTATAAAGAATCAATACGTCATTAGGTAGTCTTATAAATGATTTTGTAGACAGTTTTAAGCAACTTAGTTTTGGACATAAAAATTGGTCATTACCAACAAAATATGGACACGGCTACATTATAGACATTTAAATATTAGCTTTAAAAGGGGCTATTAAAATTTGAGACATTCACCTGAATAACTGAGTATGCAATTTACTTGCTATTAGTTATTTCTGAAACACATGAACATAAACATACATACAAATACACATATACTTAAATGTTTACCTGGAAGGACAGAGATCCCTTAATGGTTTTGAAATTATTCCAGCACTAAAGCATTCCTCTACAAATCGCTCAAGTACAGAATATGAATGTGGAACATCAAGATTAATGTCTGGGATTTCATGATAAACACGTTCATAGCCCTGCAACATCAATATTAGATGGAAATATTTATTTCAGAGTGATTCTGTATAAAGAGTCAATCTTTGTTACCTTTAAATTTTCATTTCAATAAATAAAAGTTCTAAAACAGAGCATTTTCAGATAAATAGATCAAGTAGCAAATAAAGGCAAAGATTTCTTCCTAATCAAAATAAACTTAGATGTTCTGACATTGATCTTCTGCAAAGTAGTTTCCATTAATTTTTTAAATGTACACTCTTAAATTATGTAACAAAATCAACATTTTGTGTTATCTAATCTTCATTTAGAGCACAGCTATTAATGTCACTTGGTGAATATAAATAAAGGCAATCTACTATCAAATATTAATATTAAAATAGTAATGGGTAATACTTGGGAATGTATAATGCACATTTACTCTTTTCATTTGGTCCATAGTGATGACAGCAGATCTCCAGAGGGATTTCAACAAACTGAGCATCATTTTAAAGTTTGTTTCTCCAGTTGATTCCAAAACCATCACAACTGCCTAAAATGTAAACTCAACATTAATTTTTAATTACAATGATAAAAAATATGCACTACAGAGTGGGCCCTATCTATTGCATTAAGGTCAAAAAGAGACAAGAATCCAAGAGGCTGGTGCTATCCCAATTACAACTTTGTTACTCAGGTTTGCTTTTGGCAAAATGTTGCTTCAAGTATATAAAATATACACATTTAAAATAT